CTTTGTAAGCTAGTTACAATTTTTGAAAGATGATCTCAAGGGTAAAATAAAAAAATGTTTCATAAGTAATGAGAAGCTTTGGAAGGTGACGTAGTTGGAAGTTTCTCTCTCAGTTCAGATCATTTGTTTCATAGCAGAATCTATTCTAATTCCAGCTATTTACGGCCTCCCTGGTCCTCGGGGGTATAGGAAAACTCCAATAATCCGTCAATTTTCTCGGGAGGATCTGGTGGGAGAGAGAGCCCTGGGGCACAATATACGTTGATTGCTGAACTGAGGGATGCAGAGGAAATTAAACTTGGGAAGAGTTGTCAATACAGTAGCACGATGAGAAATGGCTTACCACCGTATGAGGCCACCCACAGATAATTGTTAAAGCTTAACTCCAGGCAAACAGCTCAATACACAGATAAACTACATACTGTATCTTCTCTCTGCCGGCGCCCATCACCAAGATGACCACCGTGAGTTAAGTGCACTCACCCATATCACGCATTAAATGTAGGAATAGGAAAAATAGAGTTCTTCTTCTTATTTCCTGGAAATGTAAGCAAGAAATTTTAAAATTTGTGAAATTTGACCTTTTTGGCAAAATTATTTTGGTGACAATCGGGCCATGGGCTTTAAAGTGCTCCCAAGGGCTATCAAAGCTTCTTTTATAACTGTATCTTAGACCTGACCTTGTGCCCAAAAATATCCCCTCATTAGCCTAATTATTTTACTTTTTTCCTCCCGAAAAATGCAATTAAATTGCACAAATCTTGTATACAAAAAAAACCCCATTAATTCCAAGAACTCTAAATGAAAATGAAGTAAACCGCCCTAAATACTCCCGCCAAACACACCCTCTAAACAAAGAAAAATAAATACAAGAAATGCAAAAAGCACTGGATGAAATATGCTAAACCACCTAAAAAAAGTCACCAAAAATACACCCTCTAAATAAAAAAATAAAGAAAAATAAATGTAACCCCCCACAAATACAAAGAGCACTGGATGAATTATACTAAACTGCCTTAAATACACCCTGTAAAAAAAAAAAAGATAAAAATAACATAATAAAATAATAAATATTTCACCTTTTTAAACAAATTTTGCCAACATTTGCTGATGAAATTGGTGATTTTGCCAGAATCACCGCCCCGAGTGAGAAGCTCACTGGATTTTTTAAATTTACGTCTTTTGTGAACTTAATAAGGAAGTAAAATTATTTTCGTCCATCATTTCTGCCAGACTGCGTTGCCACCTCTGCTTGCGAAGAAGAGCGGGCTCTGGCTCGCCTTTAGCTCATTTAGATCTGTTTTTAGCTAACAGCAGCTGTTAGTCGAGACTTCTTGAAGGCCCTGATCTAGCTTATAGTGTCACCCGCTGGCTGCAAGCGAGATTTAATTTCATATTTTACTAAATACAAAATGACTAAAATTTGTATTTTTTTTAGTATTTCATCTGCTAAAAAACAGTATTAAAATAGAACTACAGATTGTGTTTAAAGTGGATCTATAGACAAGGCAACTTTAGTTATGGATCGAACATGGAAGGGTTGGAAGCTCTGTCAGGTTTTTACTGCTGTATGCGTATCCATTGGGAAGATTTGCCCTCCCTATTTGCCATAGTGACCCCTGTGATCCAGAAATTGAACGGAAATCCAAAATTTTAGAGTTGTCCCCAGAACAAGAAGTAAGGGCAAATCTTCCAGTGGGGACACCTGGTCCGGCGACAAATGGAATTCCTGTCACTTTGGGGGATTTCCTTTAACTTCCTGTTGTGTCTCTGGGACTGGAAATAAAGGAAGATTTCCCCAATGGTACACAGAAAGAACAAAAAGAAAACTGGCAGGGGATTTGATCCTTTAATACTCTATCCCCAACTTTTTAAAAAGATTTGGCTACACATATACTTTAATAGAAGCTGCATCCATCACATTGAGTTTGAAAAGCATACTGGCTTTGCTGGCTGTGTATAATGACCAATACATCTTGAAGGCCTGCAAGGACAGGCTGGTATTCTTGCTGGCCCTACCATCTTCAGGCAATGGAGTACGATAGTTGTACTACCTGATCGGCCAGCTGGAACTTTGTAATGCTTTTAAAACCTAATTTTAATAAACGATTTTTGGAAATATGACACAATGAGGAGCTTTTTCTTTTTGAGAGATTGGAGATACTTCGTTTTCTGGATATCGATCAGAAAAAAAAGGGTACATTGAAGACGACGCAGCACCGTGAGTTATCAGACAAACGCCTTTTTGGCTGTTTGCTACAGCCATCACAATGCGGTGAGTGTGCACTCTTGAGCGGGGCCGATCTCCAGCAAATTTCACTAAACCTCTGGATTTCTGGAGGTCTCACATTGTTGCACCGATTGGAGAGAGATATATTTTTTGCACAGAGACTTGTTTTCATTATATTATGGACTGTTCACGGTGTATATGTTATTAGCACCTAAGGGATATTGTGGTATTTATCACTTGGGGAAAGGGTATAATCATATCCATGTTATGAGTTTATATATAAGGATATTGATTACAGTGATGTTACCATTTTGCATAACTCAAAAAAAGGTTTTTCACTCACTATATAGATAAATCACCTTTATTTACATTTAATTAACATCAACTTAATATACACATACCACCAATAATTGATACACACATATTAGGATTTAAGTGAAATGCAAGGAATGAGGGATAACAAAAAGAAATTACACAGCGCTCTTTTAAAGGTGCAGGGCGTGTGTGGATTGCTGCTCAAAAAACAGGAGGAGAACCCTGTGAACGTAATAACGAGGCACTAAGAGCGCAAATCCGGAATTGTAAATGATGTGATTTTGGATATATGTAAAAATGTTTTTTTTTTAAATGAAGAACTTACTTCTTGTGGTGTCAGGGATCCGGACGCAGTGAGGATTCTGGAACTGCAGGGGGTGTTGGATACATTTTGTTCAATTTCCAGTGGTCCCCAATTGGTAGAGTAGGGGTGAAATAGGACTTTCGTGGCGGCTGGGAATGGTGTCATAAGTTGTGGTAGTGAACTCGGGGGTCACTAAGGTAGAGGGCAGATTGGATGTTCTGTGTGTCGAAGGGCTAGTGTGGAAGCTACCTCTGGTCTTCGTTTAGTATTTCTTCTAGATGTGTTGGAGTGGAAGTGACAGTCGGTTAGGAAGGGGAGTGCACGGGGCCGTGTCCAGTGAGCAACGCGTTTCGAGGAGAGTGCACTCCCCTTCCTAACCGACTGTCACTTCCACTCCAACACATCCAGAAGAAATACTAAACGAAGAGGATTGCCTCTCCTCGAAACGCGTTGCTCACTGGACACGGCCCCATGCACTCCCCTTCCTAACCGACTGTCACTTCCACTCCAACACATCCAGAAGAAATACTAAACGAAGAGGATTTCCTCTCCTCGAAATGCGTTGCTCATTGGACACGGCCCCGTGCACTCCCCTTCCTAACCGACTGTCACTTCCACTCCAACACATCCAGAAGAAATACTAAACGAAGACCAGAGGTAGCTTCCACACTAGCCCTTCGACACACAGAACATCCAATCTGCCCTCTACCTTTGTCCTTGACCCCCGAGTTCACTACCACAACTTATGACACCATTTCCAGCCGCCACGAACAATCCCTAAAGAAAGTCCTATTTCACCCCTACTCTACCAATTGGGGACCACTGGAAATTGAACAAAATTTATCCAACACCCCCTGCAGTTCCAGAATCCTCACTGCGTCCGGATCCCTGACACCACAAGAAGTAAGTTCTTCATTTAAAAAAAAACATTTTTACATATATCCAAAATCACATCATTTACAATTCCAGATTTGCGCTCTTAGTGCCTCGTTATTAAGGAATGAGGGATAGTTACCAATCTTAGGACTAGACCAAATCTTTTTGCCACAAACTGTCGTTTTTGCACGGCGTCAGCATCTAATTTATAGAACCGCCTCCACGAATTGATTATTCATTTATTTATTTTATTTTTATATTGATTTATAATCATATCACGGATATTAGATTTGTATATGTAAGATTAGATGGTGTACACACTTTAATAGGTCATCAGAGTTATAGATCCATTCCCTTTTTTATTGAATTATTAGCGCTGTATACTTGGTAAAACATTCATCTGGACGTAGTTGTCTATAGTACAGCAGCTTTCAAATGACATCTTATATATCCATTAGGCGCAGATTCAAAACTAAAAACATTATCCAATGGGGTCAGCAGCAGCTGTCCAAAGAGCCTGTATGGCTTAGCGTCATATTTGGTGCTACAGAAAGGGAAGGCAGGAGGAGATGAGTGGCACCGATCACTCATAAGGGTAGGGGAGCAGCTGGGGAAGGTCTTCTAACCCACCCAATCAACTGAGAAATTGAGAAAGCTGGTTGGATGACCGGTGAAACGTCTTCAAGAAAAATACAGCAAGTCCAGTTGCCTTGACTTATTTTTTACAGATATACTATGACCTGGATGAATGAGAACCTTCACAGGCCACCCAATCAACTGTTTAGGCAGACTGCAACAGTCGGGTTCAGGGATCTCATACGGGGTCATCGTCAGATCTGGCCAAAAAAGTTGATGTGTACAGGTACTCTAAGCCAGATGCTCCCACCTTAATTAGAAGGGAAACGCCTCTACTCTTCAACTTAAGCTGGACATACATGCTTCATTCTTTCTTGATCAGCCAGTGGAACCGACAAGAGAAAACCGATAATGCACCGTGTCCATCCATTTATAACCACAGTGTGCCCATCTTCTGATGGCTACTTCCAGCAGGATAATGTACCATGCCCATCCATTTATAACCACAGTGTGCCCATCTTCTGATGGCTACTTGCAGCAGGATAATGCACCATGCCCATCCATTTATAACCACAGTGTGCCCATTTTCTGATGGCTACTTGCAGCAGGATAATGCACAATGGCCATCCAATTATAACCACAGTGTGCCCATCTTCTGATGGCTACTTGCAGCAGGATAATGTACCATGCCCATCCATTTATAACCACAGTGTGCCCATCTTCTGATGTCTACTTCCAGCAGGATAATGCACCATGTGCATCCATTTATAACCACAGTGTGCCCATCTTCTGATGGCTACTTGCAGCAGGATAATGCACCATGTCCATCCATTTATAACCACAGTGTGCCCATCTTCTACTGGCTACTTCCAGCAGCATAATGCACCATGTCCATCCATTTATAACCAGTGTACCCATCTTCTGATGGCTACTTGCAGCAGGATAATGCACCATGCCCATCCATTTATAACCACAGTGTGCCCATTTTCTGATGGCTACTTGCAGCAGGATAATGCACCATGTCCATCCAATTATAACCACAGTGTGCCCATCTTCTGATGGCTACTTCCAGCAGGATAATGCACCATGTCCATCCATTTATAACCACAGTGTGCCCATCTTCTGATGGCAGGAAACCGTTCCATGTTACAAAGCTAAAATCAGCTCAAACTGTTTTTTATAAGATGATAATGTGCTCACTATACTCAAATTGAATCCAAAGTCACCAGATCTCCATTCAATAGTGCACCTTTGTGATGTGGTGTAATTGGGGGTTCACATCATGGATGTGCAGATGACAAATCTTCAGCAACTGTGTGATGCTAACATGTCAATATGGAACAAACTCTGGAGGTAGTTCTAAAGACACAGGATTGAATGTATATACAAGACATTTTTTTCCCATGACTAAAACTCAAATGGTTACTGTCTGCCTTTTCTAAATGGGCCCCCTGACTGGTCCATTAGGCACGTTGTTCATCATACATGACACACGTAGACATTCTGCGTTATGTTTTTACTGGAACTGGAACATTGTACCATGTACTCTTAAACTTCGTTCATCATACATGACACACGTAGACATTCTGGGTTCTGTTTTTACTGGAACTGGAAGTAAATTTTGTACTATTAAAATCCTTCGTGTCCCTGGATTCTATTTATATCTGCGGTCCACATGGGACTTCAGAGGAGGAAGTGATACATCTGCTCTTGTAACTAGTCAATGCCAAGCATTACCCCAGGGGCATCAGAATGCAGGTTTTACTCTCAGGACTCGGGAAGAGATTAGAAAGCAGAACGCGGCGTCGGTGCGAACGGATACAGATTAACAGGGGCAAGATGGAACCAAGGAACTCTCTGGTTGAACGTAAAAATCCTGATTCCCTATTTCTTGTGTTGGGACACATAGGCAGATGGCTTTTAAAAGGTATCAGCTGGTTGATTGCTGAGAATCCCAGAAGAGCTCCTGGGGACAGGAGGACCAAAGAAAAAATGCTAAAAGATGATATTATCCAATTTGCTTAACTTACCTGCACATTGAAAAAGCTGTGTGCGGGAAATGTTGAACATGCACAAACATTTTACAGGAAAGAAACATGAGGGCTGTTGCTGATTACCCTGATCTGAAAATACTAGATGCCTGGCTGTCATGTTAACCAAGAGCTTCAGTACTTTCTGAGCCACTGCCTAGATTAGGGGTAGGCAACCTCGGCGCTCGAGCTGCGGTAAAACTACACACCCCACCATGCCTCTGTCTCTGGGAGTCATGCCTGTGGCTGTCAAAGTCTTGCAATGCCTCATGGGACTTGTAGTTCCAAAACAGCTAGAACGTCAAGGTTGCCCACCCCTGGTCTAGATCAACGTGACGTCTTCTGAGCAAGTAACTAAGAAAGAATTGAAACCAGAACCAGGGAACTAGCATTTCTTAACAGGATCAGCTTTGGCAGCCCTCGTATTGCTCCTGCGACATGTTTCCTCTAATTAATTCCACATGAAGACTCTATGGCTGGGGTGGGCAACCTCAGCACTCCAGCTGTTAAACTACACATCCCATGAGACATTGCAAGACTCTAACAGCCACAGACATGGCAGAAGCATGCTGGGATTTGTAGTTTCACCACAACTGGAGTAACGAGCTTGCCAACTGCTGCTCTGTGCTATATTATTAGTCTTCTGTGGATTACCTGAAATCTGTACGGCGAATCGTCGGCTCTCAGGATGAGGTTCCTGGGGTCCTTCAGGGGGTAGATGTATCCATACTTCACAAGCAAGTTCCCAAGGTGCAGGGACTCTGTGGAACAGAAAAAAATGCATACTGGTAACATAGCACCAATCGTAATTCATCTGACTAGAGCAGGTGTGGGCAACTCCGGCCCCTTCATCTGTTGTGGAACTACAAGTCCCATGAGGCATTGCAAAATTTACAGAAACAGGAATGACTCCCAGAGGAAGAGGCATGCTGGGATGTGTAGTTAAAGCACAGCTGGAGTGCCGGAGTTGCCCACCCCTGGACTAGAGTAAACTGAAATCTGGTTGCAACTGTAACATAATGTGGTCACCACAAGGTGGCGCCATAAAAGGGTGCACATGTGCAATGTTGAGGCTTATGGTTGTTGGGTGGTGGAAAGGCTAAGCTATAAAAGATCTGTTAGATGTCACATGTACAGTTTGGATGCACCAATCTCCAGATACCAAGCAGGTAACATAACACTTTTCCTCATTACATATTTACAGGGTTATCCACAAAGCTGTCGAAAGCAGCCGAGTGAATAACCCAGCCGGAGTGAAGTGAGCCGAATGCTGTTCGGCTATTCACTTCAGCCTTGTACGGTGGATTTCAGCCGTACGTCAGTTGCCATCTGGATCGGCTGAGCCGAAGCTCCGGCAGCTCACTCGCTGCCGTTCACCCCTATTCTCAAAGGGGCCGAACGGCAGTGAGTGAATAACCGAATGCCGCCGAGCAGAATTTGGCTCGGCTACTCTGTTCGGTACCTCCGTGGTACTGAGCAGAATAGAAAATCAGTGAAATTAATGTTAACAAAATAAATACATTGCAAAATGATTTTACATTAGTTTAAAAAATCGGAAGATTAAAAAAAAATATATATATATTTCTTTTTAAAACAATTGGGCGGAGGTAGCGGTGACATCACGGCTGGCTCCGCCCAGCTGTCATTTGCAGGGCAAACGGCTGGCCTTCGGCAGGCCGTTCGCCCCCGCTTAGGCTGCCACTTCGGCCATCTTCGGCTGCTGTAAGGGCTATAGTGAATAGCTCGTACAGCTGCTCTTCGGGTTCAGTCGGCGGCCGGAGAGAGCCGAAGGATCGGCCAAGGCTACGGCTGGATCCTTTGTGAATAACCCCCCTAGTCTTTATCTTGCTGATAGGAGAAGAGACCAGAGTGGCAGAGAGATGAGCTCATTATTCTCCTGAATTGGAGGGGAACAAGACCTGTAACTGTTACTTAACTGCTGAAACAAATTCAGCTTTCCTGCCCTGCCAGACAGGGTTGAGTTGTGTGGCAAAGCTGCGGAAATCTCAGCACTGGATGACCAGAAATACAAATCCTTTGGCAGGTCAAACAGCTCCCACACACGTATGTCATCTGCCTATTCAGCTGTTTGTCTGGAGTTCCGCTCCTAAATAGACTCCGGGAGTCCCACAATAAAAAAAGGTATCTTGGAGAGTAAAAGCATTATGTGGTCTCACGCACGTCTCCCCCACATTGTTACTTTCATGTAATATTCAGGAGCCGTCATATAACGTCAGACCGCCCGATCTGAGCACACATAGGCTGCTGGAACCAAGATGCTTGTTCCCCCCACATACGCCTGGAGAAGGATGGCGGTGGCCCCGAGCCGTCTCTTCCACAAAGACACATAACGTGCTGCCAGCAACGTCAAACAGGATGTTAATAGAAATATATATGTTATCTCTGCTAATAAAATATGGATTAGGTGTACCGTTGCCTGGAAGGGAGACGTATTCTCTCCAGCTCCTCTGAGGACAGCAAATCTTCTATAATCATGTTTGCAATGACGACCGATCACTCACACGCAGCTGAATAAGATATCCGCATTGACAGCAGAGCAGATGACGGCTTTCTTAGCTGTGTATTATGCTTGCCTTTGTATAATCAGAGGGACGGGTGACAGGAAGGGGGTGACAGCTGTAAATAACATCTGCCCCGGCAGGTAGGCTCCCACGCCGAGACCAGCAGTGGACAGGGACATCCCGGACACCAGTGGCGGACAGGGACCTCCCAGAGACCAGTGGCGGACAGGGACCTCCCTGAGACCAGCGGCGGACAGGGACCTTCCGGAGACCAGCGGTGGACAGGGACCTGCCGGAGACCAGCAGCGGACAGGGACCTGCCGGAGACCAGCGGCGAACAGGGACCTCCCGGAGACCAGTGGCAGACAGGGACCTCCCGGAGACCAGCAGCGGACAGGGACCTCCCAGAGACCAGCAGCGGACAGGGACCTCCCGGAGACCAGTGGCAGACAGGGACCTCCCGGAGACCAGCAGCGGACAGGGACCTCCCAGAGACCAGCAGCGGACAGGGACCTCCCGGAGACCAGTGGCGGATAGGGACCTCCCGGAGACCAGTGGCGGATAGGGACCTCCCGGAGACCAGTGGCGGATAGGGACCTCCCGGAGACAAGTGGCGGACAGGGACTTGCTGGAGACCAGCAGCCGATAGAGACCTGCTAGAGACCAGTGGTGGACAGGAACCTCCTGGAGACAAGCAGCTGAGTATGGGGAAGTTTACGCCTTATTAGTAGGGATCCGATGCAAATCATTTCAACCCAAGGTCAGCCAATTTCTTTTTGATAGAGTGATGAAGAGTTAATACCTTTGTCAGGTTTTTATTGCTGTCTGAACTCTTAAATGATCAAAGGAACTGGAAGTGAGGGAAAATCTGGTTGGGACACTGAAAACCCTTCTTGAAAATAAATTAGGTCTGTAGTTCAACTTTAAAATAAGAACCAGTCTACTTGTAACAATCTGATTTTCTACACCTGAATTGTTATAATAGTGCAGTGTTACCTCTCAGGGATAGGTGTTTGTGCTGTTATTCACTTACTGTATATTCTCCCCCTGCCAGAATAGACATGACGGCTCAGGCCTAGTTCACACCTAGGCGTTTTTGAGCAGTAAATGCCCAACACAAGAAATCCCATGATTTTCAATGGCCCCTGTTCACACCTGAGCAACAAAACGCCAAACGCAGAAAAAATTAGCTTCTTTTGGCAGTTTCAAGCTCGTTTTCCCCCCACTAGACTTCAATGGAAATGCCAGGAAAACGTGCGGCAGAAGCATGTTGCACTATTTCATGTGTGTTTTTGCGCGTTTGTATATAAGTTCATCCATTGACCGCAATGTTTCTTAAGCTGCCAGTCAAAACGCACGTCTTCATGTGCTGAACACGCTCATACAAATGCGCAAAAACGATACCTCCTAGGTGTGAACCAGGCCTCAGTGTCAGGCTGTATGACCAAACCACTTAAATATCACTTTCTCAAACAAATCATCCCCACACAGCTACCACCTCTTGTATCACTTGCCCCTCCCTTTTAGATTGTAAGCCCTGAGGGGCAGGGTCCTCCTTATCATTCCGTCTTGACTTTAACTGTAACTGTAATGTGTTCCTAACATTGTAAAGCGCTGCGCAAACTGTTGGCGCCATATACATCCTTTATTATAATAATAATTATGAGGGTGACCTGTCACCTGGCCTAGTTCAAGACTATCAATGGCCCCTCTGTCTGGGCTGCTAGAGGAGGTTATAGCTGTAAATGTACAAAGCCTTTAGTATATTTTCATGTGATCCTGACAGCACCTTGGTTACATTTTTCAATGTCTGTTGAATGGCAGCATGGAGCACAAGCAGTTGATAAAGCAGCCTCTGTGGGAGCCTAACACTCAGATGATTTTGTTCAGAAAGGGAGAGAGCAAGCAAACAATTCAAAAATCAAGTGAGAGTTAAGACTGCAATATTACAACAAGTGTGGCGATTTAAGTGTCTGTTTATAAATTTTTCTCCCAACCATATGCTGGGTGAATGACGTTTGCACAACATTCCTGCCACTAGATGGAGCCGAGGGGCACAGGAGCAACTATATGTCCATATACATGCCCATGATGGACATGTTGAAGCAACTACATGTCCATCTACATGCCAATGATGGACATGAAGGAGAAACAACATCTCAGTCTAAGACTGGCCCTGGGAGACAACACTGCTGCACAGTTTAACTGCAGAGCAGACAATGTTGTCAGCCTATTACAGGAAGTGTAACATACCGACAGGAACAACAGGCAATAAAACTATGTTAAAGAGGGGGGGATGGGCTCAGAGACACAAACACTGCTGCGTTAATGCTATTGACAGACTGCATCCTATATTGTCATATTTTATTTTGCCCAGCGTACCACTTTAAAGGGCATACTTATCTCGAGCCTCCAAATCAAATTTTCATAATGCTCCACTTCAAAAATGAGCCTGTCCCTTCAAATCCTTCAGAAATTTAATGTTAATATTTCAGGCTCTGGCATTAAACAGACCTCTGAAAATGAATTTTCTGCCTCTGCATTAGCAGATGAAAGAGATATCTAGAGGGAATTTGCAAAGTGGAAAAAAAATAGACTGGAAAAAAAAAAAAGATTTAAAAGAGGATGTCGGATTAAGGCACCGGGGCCCCAGGAGGTCCAGGAATTGTGGAAACAGTGCAGAGGAAAAGCCAATTCCTTCAAGGCCTGAGGACTCTTAGGGAATTCAACGTAACCATTCTGGGACTTCTACAATGTATTTCAATGTTAGATTAACACCTGTGCTTGCAAAGGGATAGAGAGCTTGTTAAAGGGAACACATTAAGGCTACGTTCACAGGGGCAACAAAGGGATGGTACCACCCCCCAAACGCCCAAGAAATACATAATTTGGCACATACATCCAAAACATTGCAAGTTGTAAATTGAAGCATATTCAACTACAAATCCAGGTATTGTGACTGTAAACTCAGCTTCAAGGAATCCATCAATCCAGAAGCCTCAGACTGAAGCTATCATTCGTGGATATGCAATAGGTCCAAGGAATTAAAGCTCACTCTATTCATCTTCACTGCACTGCCCAGAGCTGGCATACTGCACCGGAATCTTAGAATAGAAGTTTCTAGGTGATGGTTCTTATAGGTGTAATTTGTTCGACAGCCCACAGCAACCAAATTTCAGCTACAGTGAGTGACAGCATGAAAGCTATGGGAGCTAATCAAATAATCGTTTTCTTAATACGAAGTACAAAGGTGGATTGACAAGTCATCAAGTACTGTAGAAAACACCCTTAAAAGCTCTTCCCAATCGAAAAACAAAAAAAACTATTCATGAAATATGGAAATGTAGAGACTCACCTTCCTCATTGATGGAAAGTTTCTGTATGAGCCATTCCACAACGTCATTACCTAGATTAACACACAGAGATTGAACAGCAATTTTAGAACAGGATGACACTCAAGACATGCTCAACCATTGCAGTAAATGGAACCCAAAGTATTGATTAAAGAGAATGTGTCATTCTGTCCATTCAAGGCAAAGCAAAAGGTTCTCTTGACAGCCCCCTCCCAGCCCACCACACTTCCATGCTGCTCCATTCTACTGCCGGATTGCTGAGTTTAGTCCTTGTGTGGGCTTCGTGTTGGTGCTTCCACAAGGTTCATGACCTGCTTCCATCCTCCCAGGATGCAGTGCTCAGGCCTGAGCACTGCATCCTGGGAGTAAGGGAAGAAGAGGTGGATGGACAAAGTGATAGATTCTCTTTAAGGGCAGCTACACCCAAAACGATTTTATTTTAGGCCGTGTGATGGGTACATCTCTATAGGGAGATTGGTTTGACTTACAAGCTGGTAACTCTTGGAGGGTTCCACGGTAATGTCTCAGCTTTGTAAAAAATGACTGCACACACCTACAGGGAGATTTGACTTACCCACAACTTGGTCACCTCTTGACAGTTCCTCTGTAATGTATCAGGATATTAAAGAAATGACTGCATGCACCCATAGGGAGATTGGGTTGACCCACAAGTTGGCCACCAACTGCACTTTAATAAAGTCTCGGCTTTGTTAAGAAATTACTGCATGCATCCACCCATAGGGAGATTAGGTTAACCCACGAGTTGGCCACCCCTTGGCACCTCAGAAAAGTCTCAGCATTGTAAATAAATGACAACATGCAACCAATTTTATTTTAGGCCGTGTGATGGGTACATCTCTATAGGGAGATTGCTTTGACTTACAAGTTGGTCACTCTTGGAGGGTTCCTCGGTAATGTCTCAGCTTTGTAAAAAATGACTGCATGCACCTACAGGGAGATTGGGTTGACCCACAAGTTGGCCACCCCTTGCACCTCAATAAAGTCTCGGCTGTGTTAAGAAATTACTGTATGCATCCATAAGGAGATAGGGTTGATCCACAAGTTGGCCACCACTTGGTGGTCCACAGTATTGTCTCAGCTTTGTAAAGAAATGACTGCATGCACCAATATGGTCATTGGGTTACGGTTAGCCACCCCTTGGTGGTTTTTTTACAATGCCTTTGGTGTGTAAAAAAATGACTGCATGCACCCATAGGGAGATTGTTGTAACCCACAAGTTAACCACCCCTTGGCGGTTCCTCTGTAATGTCTCATCATTGTAAAGAAATGACTGCATGCACCCAGAGGTAGATTGATTTTAACATATATAACGGCAACCCCCCTTAATGTCTCTGTGCTGTCAGCGGTGAACAGATGTAGCATAATGCAAATTTGTTTTATTAAATAGCTGCCGACACTCAACTATTAATTTGACTCCACATAGAGGCCTGGCCATTGAGCCCCCCACATGTAGGTTTCTCTGCTGCTAATCTATTAAGCCGTTATCCACGGAGAAGGGAAAAATAGAATGTCCACAGATGTATTCCAGGGCTATTTTTATCTTTGGAGAAAAGAGCAGGAGCTCAGAAGGATACAGAGGAGATTATGAAATCCCACAAGTACAATGAGGACCCTGGGGTTTAATTATCTCATTACCGCTCACGACTGCCACATAGAAACTGCTTTAATCATATCACTGGTAACAGTACCTGAAATAAAATACTACAGAGAAGATTTGTTATTCCAATGGCTAAAGATGAAGGCAACGTGATGCTTCCTCAAGATGACAGTGGCCTGAATAATGAGCCATGGTCTGATCAATGTAGTCAGTGCAACATTGTACTGAGATACATAGTGTCAGTGCAACATTGTACTTAGATACAAGGTGTCACTGTGCCACTGTACCGAGATACAAGGTGTCAGTGTGCCACTGTACCAAGATACAAAGTGTCAGCGAGCCATTGTATCGAGATACAAGGTGCCAGTGTGCCATTGTACTGAAATACAAGGTGTCACTGTGCCATTGTACTGAGATCAGTGTGCCATTGTACTGAGATCAGTGTGGCATTGTACTTAGATACAAGGTGTCATTGTGCCATTGTACTGATATACAAGGTGTCACTACGCCATTGTACCAAGATACAAAGTGTCAGCGTGCCATTGTACTGAGATACAAGGTGTCACTATGCCATTTTACTGAGATACAACATGTCAGTGTGCCATTGTACTGAGATACAAGGTGCCAGTGTGCCATTGTACCGAGATACAAGGTGTCACTGTGCCATTGTACTGAGATCAGTGTGGCATTGTACTTAGATACAAGGTGTCATTGTGCCATTGTACCAAGATACAAAGTGTCAGCGTGCCATTGTACCGAGATACAAGGTGCCAGTGTGCCATTGTAATGAGATACAAGGTGTCACTGTGCCATTGTAATGAGATCAGTGTGCCATTGTACTGAGATACAAGGTGTCGTTGTGCCATTGTACTGAGATACAAGGTGTCACTGTGCCATTGTACTGAGATCAGTGTGGCATTGTACTTAGATACAAGGTGTCATTGTGCCATTGTACTGAGATACAAGGTGTCACTGTGCCATTGTACTGAGATACAAGGTGTCACTATGCCATTGTACTGAGATCAGTGTGCCATTGTACTGAGATCAGTGTGCCATTGTACTGAGATCAGTGTGCCATTGTACTGAGATACAAGAGGCCACTATGCCATTGTACTGAGATACAAGGTGTCACTATGCCATTTTACTGAGATAGAAGGTGTCACTGTGCCATTGTACTGAGATACAAGGTGTCGCTATGCCATTGTACTGAGATACAAGGTGTCGCTATGCCATTGTACTGAGATACAAGGTGTCGCTATGCCATTGTACTGAGATACAAGGTGTCGCTATGCCATTGTACTGAGATACAAGGTGTCGCTATGCCATTGTACTGAGATACAAGGTGTCGCTATGCCATTGTACTGAGATACAAGGTGTCGCTATGCCATTGTACTGAGATACAAGGTGTCGCTATGCCATTGTACTGAGATACAAGGTGTCGCTATGCCATTGTACTGAGATACAAGGTGTCGCTATGCCATTGTACTGAGATACAAGGTGTCGCTATGCCATTGTACTGAGATACAAGGTGTCGCTATGCCATTGTACTGAGATACAAGGTGTCACTATGCCATTTTACTGAGATACAAGGTGTCAGTGTGCCATTGTACTGAGATACGAGGTGTCACTATGCCATTGTACCGAGATACAAGGTGTCACTGTGCCATTGTACCGAGATACAAGGTGTCACTGTGCCATTGTACTGAGATACAAGAGGTCACTATGCCATTGTACTGAGATACAAGGTGTCGCTATGCCATTGTACTGAGATACAAGGTGTCACTATGCCATTGTACTGAGATACAAGGCGTCACTATGCCATTGTACTGAGATACAAGGTGTCACTGTGCCATTTTAACGAGATACAAGGTGTCACTATGCCATTGTACTGAGATACAAGGTGTCATTGTGCCATTGTACCGAGATACAAGGTGTCACTATGCCATTGTACTGAGATACAAGGTGTCAGTGTGCCATTGTACTCAGATACAAGGTGTCACTGTGCCATTGTACTCAGATACAAGGGTTTGTATAGAAATTTGGCGCACACAAAGTGGATTTATGTCCTTTGTGACTATTGAGGAATATATCTTAATGAACATTTCATATCTAAATGCTCACAGTCTAGCTTCAAGCATGACATTTTAAGAAAAATAAACACACGCAGCCAGTATCATATATTATCTGCTGTACAAACATGTCTGTGAGCGTCGCCTGGCAGCGAAGGGTTTAAATGGCTTTTGAGTTTCTGAAAATTAAACTCACTGAATTATTAAGTATGTTTACTGGCATGAAAACCTCCCTCATTCCCAGGCAAGAATTATGAAAATAAAAAGCAAACATTTCCTAAAATAGGTCAGAGCTGGAGCCCATATGTACGGGCCCGTGTTTGATGCAGGCTTTGTACATGTGTCCAGCAATATCACATGAAATACACATGTGTGGAGATTTAAAGTGGACCTGTCACTTACACAGAGTGAAGGCAGACATTATACAAGTTGCATTAGTATTACAGGAGAACTATGAGGTGAGTGCTTTTCACTCACCTCGTAGTTCTAGCCGACCTGTGACAATGAGACTGTCACAGGTCGGGTCGGCTCAGTAGATCGGGAGGTGAGCGAACACATACCGGCGTTCGCTCACCTCTCGATCCTGTCACGGCTCTCTGCCGTGACAGGGGAGGGTCTGGATTCCCATCTCCCCGCTCCGATGGCGCTGACTGGTGGATCGGACAGGGGAGGGGGGCGGGTACAGCTGGCTCTGCCTCTAGATAGGCAGAGCCAGCTGTCAGTCACGCAGCTGGGCGGATCCCGGCACAATTGTCAGGATCCGCTTCAGCTGCGGCGTCTCAGTATACCGCGAGCTACAGCTCGCAGTATACTGAGCCTAGGGTGATGGGAGGACGCTAGTTTGTGTCCTCCCGTTACCCTAAGGAGAACTATGGGGAAAAGACTTAACCCCATAGTTCTCCTTTAATGTGAATTGAAACAAATAAATAGGAAATTGTGACATCATAGACCTTGTATGACCTTATATATAGACCTTAAAGACATTGACCTAATATGGCCATGTGGCCATATTGAGTCCAAACCCATCTCATTCCTAGTCACTAATGAATAAGCTTTTGCATTTTGGTGCAGGGTCCCCTTTAAAGCTTAATTTTTTTTATTGAGTAGGGAAGTATTCAAATTTCCGTTAGGGAATGTATTTATTTCGATGACTCTGAGAGATTTTCCTTCACTTCCTGTTGACTGTAGGAAGAGGCATGCATTTGGTGTAGAGGAGAGCAGAGTAGGACGAGGGATGCAGGAGGTGCAGAGGTGAGAAGAGTAGGAACAGGAATGCAGGGGTGAGCAGTTTAGGACGAGGGATGCAGGGGGTGCAAAGGTAAGTAGAGTATGAGCAGGGATGCAGGGAGTGCAGAGGCAAGCACTGTAGGAAGAGGCATGCATTGGGTGCAGAGGAGAGCAGAGTAGGACGAGGGATGCAGGAGGTGAGAAGAGTAGGAACAGGCATGCAGGGGTGAGCAGTGTAGGAAGAGCGTGATGCCAATGGGGCCCTGTCAGGTAGGGTGCACTGGGCTCCAAGATTTCTATTGGCAGCCCAGACTCTATCCAAATACAAAATAAAGACTTTCATCTTGACTTGGGCTCGAATTCAAAAGGTAAAGTGTACTTCTGTACTTTAATAGGTAGATCGCTTTAGGTTTGGACATTTCTTTCCTAGAGCTCAGCACAGCGTGAAGAAACTTTCAGACGCATTCTTACAAGATCAATCGCGTATTTTTTTCGTGCTCCTGGGGTCCTGCAAAAAACCCCAAACCTTTAGTGTGAAAAATTCATCTTCCAGAAAGCGGCACGAAGTACAAACACCGCCATCCAGGCAAAATGAATATCCTATTCCGTGTGTCACATCAATGTCCTGTCTGGGTCTACTCAGTAACAAGGCAGCAAGTGGATCATGAACCGAAGGATCAAACAAAACGCAAGACGTCAGATCTTCAATCCTCCCCTGGGACTGCGTGTGATGGCAATTAATTCTACACCTTATTGTAGTTCATATTTACTATTATTGTAGTTCATTCATTTTTGAAATTGAAATAAAAAGGAATGAAGAACTCCAACATTTATATACAGATATAAAAATTAATAGAGCTCTGTGTTCATTAATACATCATTTAATGTGTTTTTAAATAAAATCAGGGTAATTGTTAGGTGGTTAAGTGTTAGGTTAAGTTTTAGGAATATTGTTATGGGTTAAAGCGCATCTAAACCCAAAAGAAAAAAATGTCATAGTGCAGGTTTTGTTTTCCCTTTTACTTTTTTGGGGGCTTTTTATTCTTTATTTTCACCTGGTGATCCAGCTAGTAAGTTTGTAATGTTTCAACTTCCTTTGCCAGGCCAAGCTGTCCAGCACAAGTGTTAGATAGAGGGTTGAGACAAACCATTTAACACTGACAGGGTGCTCATTAGAGGGGTACCAATACCGATACTAGTATTGGTGCTGATGCCAAGTATTTGGGCGAGTACTCGTATTCGCCCAAACGATCCGATACCTTCCCCGATACCGGAACTTCTGGTAATAGGAAGCCAGGCAGCGAGTGATTACACGCTGACCGGCTTCCTGATTGACCGGGAAGCCGTCTCCATGCTCCCTCGTCACTTGGTATTGGTGCATCCCTAGTGCTTATAATGGGTGGCTTTTATTCATTTATGTAAACCCTTTATCCCAAAAGGTATAAAGTTACTATAACTGCTTAAAAAGTGTTATCTGGAGTTCAGATTGAATTCCATCTAAATCTGCTAGTCCATCAAACACAACCCTTCCCACAGGGTGACAATGCTCTTGTTCCAAGGGGGGCCTTGTTGCTCTTCCATAGAGTGGAGCCAACCTGGCACAGGAAGTGTGTTACTGGTCAGATCAGCAGGTCTAAGATTTTAATTTTGGGTTTAGATACACTTAAAGGGTTAAGATTCAGAGTCAGGTGAAGTGTTCAGGGGGGCAGCGTTGGAATTTAAAGGTTAATTAGAAGATGGGTTATCATTATGCTAGCCTTACAAATGTTTCTTGTTCAGCCCAACTCGATTCCCCCATCCAAACTAAAAAAACAACAATCAAGCCGGGCTATTATATTCTAACAACCTGTGCCTTGTGGCTGGCCAACCATTTTCCATCCGGCTTCTTTGAGAAAACTTAACTGCAATGTCTTTTGTCAAGCTGGGTGGTGCCAGATGGGCCAAACACTGATCGAATTTTGGCTGATTCAGCAGGAAACGGCCTAAGTTTGATCCGTGTATGTTCAACTTTAGGTACTAATGGTGGCCTAAGGGTCAGGTTAAGAGAAGTGAAGGTCCCTTTGCCTTTAGACTTATTTTTCTGCACTACTACCCCATATTAAAAACTATACAGCATTGCTATCTTAGGGCAAAATAAAAAATTATAATTATAAAGGTACCGCTGGGATAAGATACACACAGCAGAATCAGGACCTGTAAACGGCCAATTAAAGTGTACAACCAAAACTTATTTTTTTCAGTTTTGTATTATGTAGGAAATGGTGAACACCCCCCTTTCAGTTACTTTTTTTTTTGCTGTCTGTGACTCGATGGAGAGATTTCCTTTTATTTCCTGTCCTGAGACACATCAGAAAATAAGAGGGGATTTCTCTAAAGCAAGGGCTTACGCCCTCTCAGACAGCTTATCACCAGAAGAGGTTTCCCTATTGGAAGATTTCCTCTCTACTCTTATTCTTACTCCATCCAAAGCTAAAAAAAATGGCTTTACAGACACATATATCAGAAAGAGAATTCTATTACAGTACTAATGCCAACCAGTACTGATTAAACTGGACTCACCGGTCATGGCGTGGGGAATAACCGTGATTAGCAAGCGCTGGTTTCTCATTTTGATGCCGATATCTGGGTCCTGCATGGCCACAATCAGACGCTCCATCTGATGGGACATAACAGAAGTATCATTAGAAACAAGTAGACCAACCCTTCTCAACTATTTTATAACACAGAGGAACCCTTTATATAAAGCAGAACTCGGAGCACATATAGTCTTTTTTAAATATACAGAGAGCAGAGCTGTGGGAGAGACCCAGCGGGCCCCACCCACTACAGCCTGCCAGCAGAAAACTATAGGAAGGGCGGAGACAAGACCAGTCACCCTGCACAAGGAGAGAGAACAGCAGTGAGCAGTCTTTATTACAGGAGGGGGGCGGAGACAAGACCAGTCACCCTGCACAAGGAGAGAGAACAGCAGTGACCGGTCTTTATTACAGGAAGCTGCAAGTTTCACACTGGATTACCGCACAGATCTGGAAGAAATACACAAAGCTCACTTAGATTCAAGAAGAATACACGTAACTCTTCTATGAGGACAATATTTGCTCATCAGCTTTAAGGCCTCAGGGAACCCCTGCTAATAATTACTATAGCTACAGCTCAGCGCACAATAGTGTGATTAGTAAGCTGAGAAATAGGAATAAATAGAAGAATAAGGAATGTCACATACTTAGCGTATTTAAAACTCATGGTGGCTCTATACAACTGTAGCGCTCACCCCCGAAGGAGCCGCTGATTATGAATTGAGGTTCTCCCACCTGTTTGTTCCAGCCACCGGCCCCCTTTGTTCAGCAACAGCACACCGACACTCACGGACAGAATGAACTCAAGTCTTAGGGTCTTTTTGTAGATTTTTTTGCAAGGATTAACAGGAGAGAGGATTTGGGGTCTGTAGGATGCCCTGGCGGATTCTTCAAAGGACTGCTTTCTCCCCTAGCAACCGCTAAGGCCGATAGCACTGTGACCTGGTCCCAGGGACCAATAGTATTAGCAATACTGCGAACAGCCAGGATGGTCCAGTAACTTATATGGAGAAGGTTAGCTATCTCTGGACTCAGGTAAGGAACTCTGGCTTCTTCTAGAACAGACACCTGGAATAGGGTAAGGGATCTCTCTTGTGGGTCCCAGACGGACGCTCTCACCAGCTCCTCTGCGGTACCCCTCAACAAGAAGACTCTCCCTCCGGCCCAGCTTCCATCAGGTATTTTCCTCTTCGGTATCTGGAATTCCTGTGCCCTCAGCATCTGCAACTGCCAAGGAGCACTCCAGATTAGTAGTAGTATCCTTTTAGAACAAGGCACCCAACACCTGCCACGGGTATGGGGCCCAAGCAAAGTTCCTATGGTGTCCTAGGCCTCCAGGCCCCCAGCACCTGCCATGTGCTGAGGCCCAGGCCATTCATCTGTCACAGAGACCTCCTAGGGAGAGGCCCCTAGGTGGAATAGCGCTCTCCCCAGAGCTTTTACTACCTGCCCTCAGCCATACCCTTGAGGCATCATATTCAGGGATAGGTCAGGGTCAGGTGCATGGTCATAGTCTGAGGATGGATCCTCCCTCACTGTATGCCAAGCAGTCACAGAGTGAAGGCAGACATTATACAAGTTGCATTAGTATTACAGGAGAACTATGAGGTGAGTGCTTTTCACTCACCTCGTAGTTCTAGCCGACCTGTGACAATGAGACTGTCACAGGTCGGGTCGGCTCAGTAGATCGGGAGGTGAGCGAACACATACCGGCGTTCGCTCACCTCTCGATCCTGTCACGGCTCTCTGCCGTGACAGGGGAGGGTCTGGATTCCCATCTCCCCGCTCCGATGGCGCTGACTGGTGGATCGGACAGGGGAGGGGGGCGGGTACAGCTGGCTCTGCCTCTAGATAGGCAGAGCCAGCTGTCAGTCACGCAGCTGGGCGGATCCCGGCACAATTGTCAGGATCCGCTTCAGCTGCGGCGTCTCAGTATACCGCGAGCTACAGCTCGCAGTATACTGAGCCTAGGGTGATGGGAGGACGCTAGTTTGTGTCCTCCCGTTACCCTAAGGAGAACTATGGGGAAAAGACTTAACCCCATAGTTCTCCTTTAATGTGAATTGAAACAAATAAATAGGAAATTGTGACATCATAGACCTTGTATGACCTTATATATAGACCTTAAAGACATTGACCTAATATGGCCATGTGGCCATATTGAGTCCAAACCCATCTCATTCCTAGTCACTAATGAATAAGCTTTTGCATTTTGGTGCAGGGTCCCCTTTAAAGCTTAATTTTTTTTATTGAGTAGGGAAGTATTCAAATTTCCGTTAGGGAATGTATTTATTTCGATGACTCTGAGAGATTTTCCTTCACTTCCTGTTGACTGTAGGAAGAGGCATGCATTTGGTGTAGAGGAGAGCAGAGTAGGACGAGGGATGCAGGAGGTGCAGAGGTGAGAAGAGTAGGAACAGGAATGCAGGGGTGAGCAGTTTAGGACGAGGGATGCAGGGGGTGCAAAGGTAAGTAGAGTATGAGCAGGGATGCAGGGAGTGCAGAGGCAAGCACTGTAGGAAGAGGCATGCATTGGGTGCAGAGGAGAGCAGAGTAGGACGAGGGATGCAGGAGGTGAGAAGAGTAGGAACAGGCATGCAGGGGTGAGCAGTGTAGGAAGAGCGTGATGCCAATGGGGCCCTGTCAGGTAGGGTGCACTGGGCTCCAAGATTTCTATTGGCAGCCCAGACTCTATCCAAATACAAAATAAAGACTTTCATCTTGACTTGGGCTCGAATTCAAAAGGTAAAGTGTACTTCTGTACTTTAATAGGTAGATCGCTTTAGGTTTGGACATTTCTTTCCTAGAGCTCAGCACAGCGTGAAGAAACTTTCAGACGCATTCTTACAAGATCAATCGCGTATTTTTTTCGTGCTCCTGGGGTCCTGCAAAAAACCCCAAACCTTTAGTGTGAAAAATTCATCTTCCAGAAAGCGGCACGAAGTACAAACACCGCCATCCAGGCAAAATGAATATCCTATTCCGTGTGTCACATCAATGTCCTGTCTGGGTCTACTCAGTAACAAGGCAGCAAGTGGATCATGAACCGAAGGATCAAACAAAACGCAAGACGTCAGATCTTCAATCCTCCCCTGGGACTGCGTGTGATGGCAATTAATTCTACACCTTATTGTAGTTCATATTTACTATTATTGTAGTTCATTCATTTTTGAAATTGAAATAAAAAGGAATGAAGAACTCCAACATTTATATACAGATATAAAAATTAATAGAGCTCTGTGTTCATTAATACATCATTTAATGTGTTTTTAAATAAAATCAGGGTAATTGTTAGGTGGTTAAGTGTTAGGTTAAGTTTTAGGAATATTGTTATGGGTTAAAGCGCATCTAAACCCAAAAGAAAAAAATGTCATAGTGCAGGTTTTGTTTTCCCTTTTACTTTTTTGGGGGCTTTTTATTCTTTATTTTCACCTGGTGATCCAGCTAGTAAGTTTGTAATGTTTCAACTTCCTTTGCCAGGCCAAGCTGTCCAGCACAAGTGTTAGATAGAGGGTTGAGACAAACCATTTAACACTGACAGGGTGCTCATTAGAGGGGTACCAATACCGATACTAGTATTGGTGCTGATGCCAAGTATTTGGGCGAGTACTCGTATTCGCCCAAACGATCCGATACCTTCCCCGATACCGGAACTTCTGGTAATAGGAAGCCAGGCAGCGAGTGATTACACGCTGACCGGCTTCCTGATTGACCGGGAAGCCGTCTCCATGCTCCCTCGTCACTTGGTATTGGTGCATCCCTAGTGCTTATAATGGGTGGCTTTTATTCATTTATGTAAACCCTTTATCCCAAAAGGTATAAAGTTACTATAACTGCTTAAAAAGTGTTATCTGGAGTTCAGATTGAATTCCATCTAAATCTGCTAGTCCATCAAACACAACCCTTCCCACAGGGTGACAATGCTCTTGTTCCAAGGGGGGCCTTGTTGCTCTTCCATAGAGTGGAGCCAACCTGGCACAGGAAGTGTGTTACTGGTCAGATCAGCAGGTCTAAGATTTTAATTTTGGGTTTAGATACACTTAAAGGGTTAAGATTCAGAGTCAGGTGAAGTGTTCAGGGGGGCAGCGTTGGAATTTAAAGGTTAATTAGAAGATGGGTTATCATTATGCTAGCCTTACAAATGTTTCTTGTTCAGCCCAACTCGATTCCCCCATCCAAACTAAAAAAACAACAATCAAGCCGGGCTATTATATTCTAACAACCTGTGCCTTGTGGCTGGCCAACCATTTTCCATCCGGCTTCTTTGAGAAAACTTAACTGCAATGTCTTTTGTCAAGCTGGGTGGTGCCAGATGGGCCAAACACTGATCGAATTTTGGCTGATTCAGCAGGAAACGGCCTAAGTTTGATCCGTGTATGTTCAACTTTAGGTACTAATGGTGGCCTAAGGGTCAGGTTAAGAGAAGTGAAGGTCCCTTTGCCTTTAGACTTATTTTTCTGCACTACTACCCCATATTAAAAACTATACAGCATTGCTATCTTAGGGCAAAATAAAAAATTATAATTATAAAGGTACCGCTGGGATAAGATACACACAGCAGAATCAGGACCTGTAAACGGCCAATTAAAGTGTACAACCAAAACTTATTTTTTTCAGTTTTGTATTATGTAGGAAATGGTGAACACCCCCCTTTCAGTTACTTTTTTTTTTGCTGTCTGTGACTCGATGGAGAGATTTCCTTTTATTTCCTGTCCTGAGACACATCAGAAAATAAGAGGGGATTTCTCTAAAGCAAGGGCTTACGCCCTCTCAGACAGCTTATCACCAGAAGAGGTTTCCCTATTGGAAGATTTCCTCTCTACTCTTATTCTTACTCCATCCAAAGCTAAAAAAAATGGCTTTACAGACACATATATCAGAAAGAGAATTCTATTACAGTACTAATGCCAACCAGTACTGATTAAACTGGACTCACCGGTCATGGCGTGGGGAATAACCGTGATTAGCAAGCGCTGGTTTCTCATTTTGATGCCGATATCTGGGTCCTGCATGGCCACAATCAGACGCTCCATCTGATGGGACATAACAGAAGTATCATTAGAAACAAGTAGACCAACCC